CTGTGCTCCCAGTCTAGAGGCCAACATGGAACACCAGCACCCAGAAGGCGTATTTCCTAATGTCACCACACAGCAAGTAACACCTTAATCATTGTGGTTACTCAACAAATAAACCCACGTAGACTTTGCCCTGGGAATCAGGAAGTACTGCATGGCAGCGATAGGGACTGTGAAACTACAGCATACACAGTCTCGAAGGTTCCTAGAACTTCTCTGGGATATTAACAAACCAAAGTGATCTTCACTGACGCTTATTTGAAATAGTGGTGGGGGAGGGGCAGCCGTAGCACCAACGCAATTGCCGCTTTCAGCTCCAGTCTCCGGGGAAAGACAGGAAAGAATTCAATTAGATAAAGATTTTTATCCCAGCTGATGTTTTTACATAAGCCAGATGAAGTTGTGAAAGTGGGTGTTGAGCAGATAATTAGAGCTATTCAAATATGGCATAATGCACAGTGCAAATAATCAATTTGAGGGCTTTTCTCTTCTCTTTCAAGTGGCTGAGGCAAACACTGTGTCTATTTTATTATTTTTGTGGGGGGGGGCAGATTTTTTTCATTGTTTACTAAGGTATAACACAGGTTCTTTGAGACTGAAATAAAAAGATTGCTTAAGGAGTTTAAAGCAAGCGGTATTTGCAGTGGACCAAGACGGAGTCTGAAATGCTGCCTAGATACAAAGCCAACCCACACATCTGGCAGGCACCAGAAATCCCACCGTTAATTCTCTACAAATGAAAGCAAAATATCTCCAAATAAACACATTAGGAGATGGTCACTTAATGGTCTCTAAAACAGCAATGGGAATGTTTTCACATCGGAGTACAATCTTGGAAAAGAATATATTAAGGGAAAACAAAGGAACTGAAAATTTTTAGTATTTTACAACACTGTAAAAATACACATGCAAAGGGGCTGAGTAGATGGCTCAGTAGAAAAAAGCACTTCCCCGGCAAGCGCAAGTGCCTGAGTTCAATCCCCGCTTCTGCCACAAAAAAAGAAAAAAATAATAAAATAAAAATACACATGTGAAAAATAGGTTATGAGGGGTTTTGAGAAACTTGTTTTCAGTGGGAGAAGACTCCTTATTTTTGTAATATGATTACTTTTCTTAGGGATTGAAAAGACAGAAGTAGTCACTGAAATAGTCTTAATGAAAAAAATAATTTTAGTACTAGATGATTTGAAGGAGGTAGGAGGAGTTGCAAATCTCAGTGGTGTTTTCTAAGCAGTGAAATCCTCTCACAGTATGTGCTGCGTCAGAGAAGAAAAGGGGAACTTGGGGTCAGAGGACCAAGGCACGTGAACACTTCACTATGGAGCATGGAGAGGACTCCTGGGGCGGTCCTGGAGGCTCAGATAAGGATGGCTTGATCCAAGATGATTTTTAAAGAGCAGCTCTAGAGAGCTAGTTCCACAGTCATGTGGAACGCACACACAAGGTGACAGCGGGAACTGGGGCCCTAAATGGGAAAGGCACTTACCAGCTTCCAGGAAAAACCCATCAGTCAGCTGATCTACTCAAAGAGCCTTAGTGTTGTCTCATCACCTGGTCCTGATTAGGAAGGTATGAGAAGTAGGACTCTACACTGATACATCCTAAAATGCCCATTTACACACTGGATACACAGGGGATCATTCCCGTGAACTACTGAGATTTGGGGCAAAACAATACACACACGTGCAAACCCCCCTCCACAAGGCTTTTCAATTTGTACCATATTAACAAGAAATCAGACAAAACATAGAAAAGCCTTCAAGTAAGAAATGTGACATTAACAAGTGAGAAAGCAAACATGTTCTGGTCCAGGGTATTTCATTTGGCTGGTCCTAAAGATATCACACCAAGTAAACATGACTTTAGACATTCTCTTGTTAAATCCAAAGGAACAGTCATTCCCTTGAGACGACTAGAACAGTCACATTTATCCAACCATCCAGGGTGGACACTGCTCCTCCCTCACAGAGAATGGGACCTTCTGGCAAGGAAGCCTCCAAACTCGCTGCGGCCAGGCTCTGGATGGGATGGTAGAGGAAGTAACTGTTTTCTGCTGCAAAATCTCCAGCCTACATGCATCTCTCGCAACAGGAGAAATGCCTCCAACTGCTTCATCTCCCCCCTCGCTCCCTGTCTCCTCCATTCAAGGCAGCCGCACCCATGAGGAAGTTTTGTATCAACCTGTCACACGACTAGAAGCACTGGTGATGACTTGCTTCACTCTCTCATTAAGATCCTCAAAATGCTGATTTTCTCATTCCTCATTCCTCTGCATTTATTATCCCTGATTTCTCTGTGATTAGCAACTTTTTCTCATCAACCATTTGATTATTTCAAATATAATTTGTGCTCGAAAGGCAGGAAGATCAAAGCTGAATTTTTTTTCTCCTTTATTTTTTAGAATAAGGAGCTGGGGCTCTAGCAACTTGTAAAGGTGACTCTACTTTGTGGCTTTTCTTGTTTCATGCATCACTTTGGCCTCAGCTTTTTTGGTCATTTGTTTGATTTTAATCTACTGAAATCAGTATTCTTTCCATGCCCAGACTCCTCCGTTTTGGGAATCTACGTCCTCTTGCTTCCACCCCACTGGGCCTTCTCAGCTTCCGTTCCTTTGCTTACGGCATGATAAAATGGTCCATCTTGAATATTTCCTGCACTAGACCTGCAACCAGCTCCTGATCCTAAAAAGAGGCTCCTTTCAGTGAGAAAAGGAGCTTAGGGAACTACACACTTGCTTGCTCTGACTTCTGGTCTCTTTCACAGCACAGAATGGGGAAATGTCTTTAAAAGAAAGAAACCACCGAAAAGTTCATATTGATAATTCCCATTCAAGCTGTATGTTACAGTCTTTAATTCTTCCCTTTATCATATACTGAAAATCTTGGTTCCCATACTCTAATAATTTCAAACAACAAGATAAATATTTTCTACAATGACTATATAGGCAAATCAGTGCTTACGGTATCTGCTGATGTTCTGCCATGAAGTTTGTTTTTTTTTTTTTTTAGGAAGGCAGTCAAATTCCCGACTCCTGCTGAGCTCTGTGCCATGATGAAGTCACTTATCTCTCTTCCCAGGTTAAGAGAAATTCCCTACATTTCCAGCTTCAATCCAGCTTCAGTTGTGTATCTTTCCAGGTATGGGGGAAGGAACCTAGGGCCTCACATACGTTAGGTAAGCACTCCCTGACTGTGCCCTCTCCCCAGCCCCCTTGGTATCTGTTTTGAGGTAAGGCCCTCCAAGTTGCCCAGGCTGGCCTCAACCTTGTAATACTCCTGTCTCGGCCCTGGTAGATGGGATTACACTTCAGTACCATTTTAAACAGTGACCTTCTTTCAATTCAATGAGCCAGTGCTATGGAGCACAAAGTAGGTTTCTAGGTCTCTAAATCCTAACATTCTAAAGGAGAACTCTACATGTTCTAGAACCCCTCTCCCCTCCAGGCCTGGACACAGGAAAACGTCACGTTCTGGAGGGCACATGCCTACCACATCCCCCAGGCAGCTTAAGTCATTCTGGACAGAGGTAACACCTTCTGTCACTTGCAATAACACACAGCTCCCTTTGCAGTTTGTTTGGTGCCACCTCATCCCAGCCTCTCAAAGTCTCACAGCAAATGCAAACCACAGATTTAACTGTAATCACGTCTCACTGTCACTCAAGGTGCCAGATATTAGTTGTTCCCAAACTATGTGCCAGGGACAAGTTGCAATAACAGGATAATACAGCTCCCGGAGGCAGTACTAATGCTGACATGCATCGAGCCCACTCTTGCCAACCTGAGCCAAAAGAATGTTTAAATGTAAGCTGATTTTAAAAACTACTCCCTTCACCAGCTGTCACCCTTAATTTGTCCTTCTTTGAACTGAGGCCCAAGGACTAACCCAGTATACTCACTGTTGTGTTTAGTGAGCCCGAATAAAGGGTTACTTTTGGGAGGCTGCAAACAAGAGGATAGGGTGGTTGCAGGGGAAAAAAGCAAGCAGAATGACATCTCTGCAATGATTTCTAGAATGAAAATCTCTGTGTTGAAATTATACTGATAACTTTAGAAAATGGGAATTCTCTTCTCTGAGCATTCAAATTAACTGTTTAACTCATGTAGTTGTTCATTTTTAGAAAAGAAATTCACTCTTGTGCACTGTCAAGTAACATATTTGCAAGTCTGATATTTGGTCCATAGTCATCAGTTAATTAGAAATAGGGCTCCACTAAGCCAGGTAACTGGAAAGTGACAATAAGAATGCTGGAGAGGGGGGCCGGGGAGATGGCTCAGTAGAGTAAGTGCTTGCCTGGCAAGTACAAGGGCCTGAGTTCAATTCCCAGTTCCGCAAAAACAAAAACTAAAATAAAATAAAAATAAATTAAGAACCCTGGAGAGGAATGGGAAAGAATGGCCTACAGACCAAAAATCCTGCAAGTCTAGCAGCAGGGCCATCCGCTCACTATCGGTTTTATGCATTCCCACTCTTCCCACACAAAAGGATCACTGCTGCTAAGACAATGTTATCAGGTCAGCAGGAGAAGCAAGAATCTCATTCAGACCAATGTTCAAGAAATCGGTGAAGTATAAAACTACGTTTAAACCAGCTGTACTTAAGAGAGGATAAGATTTTTTCTTTGAAAAGTTTGGCACTTAATACATTAAGATATAGTTATGTAGAAAGGGAACTGACACAGAAGACGTCATTCCTCATTAAAAACTGAGGGGACCCTCAACAGCAGCAGGGTGGCACAGGGCCAGCTAAGGCTGTAGCAACCTTAGAACTTACAGTTCTTTTCTAATGGCAATTTGCAGTCCACAGTTTTTTCCACAACATTTCCAAGCCTTTCCAAAAAACACACACATGAAATTTTAATGCCAATTAAAAAATTCAATTATTCCCAAGGAAAAGGTTCCGAGCACACACTGGTACAGCGAAGGACCCTGAAGGTAACCACCTCAAGTAGCTGGCTGTCTTCACTGATGTTCTAGAAAGCGGAAGAGAAACCTAAATACTCACGGAACATGGTGTAGAACTGCTGAGGGTTCAGATTCCATTTTCCCCAGGGGGTCTTGTGGCCTTTGGACTGGGCGTAGTTTGCATGATTAAACTCTGGCTCGGTGCCAAATGAATCCAGGACTCGAAGCATGCACCTGAAAGAAGAGGTGAGGTGTGTGAAGCCACAGCAATCACTGTCTAGTCTCTTCTTCAAGGGCTACCAAAAACAGACACACACTTTAAGTTAA